AATCCATTTTACCTTATTTTTACCCCTTTCATGGAACGTATTCGCTCTCAGCTTCACCTAAGCATCAGTTTCATAAATAGGAAAGTCCCAGGAGCACGCTTCCTCATCCTTTCCGTTCTTCACCGCTCCCCTCTCCTCTCCAAATGTGCGTTACTTAGTCAAGCGGCAAAGGATCTACGCCATTTAATCCTTATATTCAGCCATCCTAGCCTCCCCTCCCCCCTCCCCCTCCCCATCTCGAATGAAAGTCGCTACATACCATCCCCACTTCCACCTGCAACATTCAAACTGCCGCCATCCGCCGTGGGGTAGCCCTACTAGCCGTCAGGGGAAAGAATTTTTTGCGGCTTGTGTATGAGAGGAGCCGAGCCGAGTTTTTGTAATTACCCAAAACACTGCTTGAAGGCACGAATTTTAAACGGAGGCTTGAAATTATGGGGAGGGGATTATACGGATTTATGATGCTGAGCAAGGAAGTTGTTGCCAGTAGGCCTGAAATCCCACCCTGAAAAAAACTTACTATTTGTTGACAATTACAATTTTCGCAACCCGTGATTAAACCTACAGACGAGTGTAAGCTGCGGCGATCGAACCGAATCAAGTTTTAGTAGTTGCTTTGCGCGAGAGTTGTGGTACTTGAGCGATAGTGGGGTTGGGGAGGGAGGGGGGGGGGATTTTAAAAATGAGCACTGTTATTCCTGTACAAGCGTGCATTCGGTGCCAAAGGAAGCAGGGGTAGCCCGGTGTATTGAGCTATTAATGCAAGTCGCTCACTAGCAGTGTAGTGCTGCCGAAGGTTCAAAGGCGAAGAGCAAATAGTTGGCCAACGCACAGGCTGCCCGTGCGAAGATGCGTTTTTTGCATAGCTCTCCCACAGGTATTTGTCGCTAGCGGCACTATTTTTTCCGGCAGATGCTTCTAACTAAAAAGATTTGACTAGCCGCCAGGGCTGTCAGGAAACATCCCTTCAAAATTCTTGTCTTCTAGCTTCTCAAGTCCCCCAGTTAGCAGCTTACCCGAAAAAAAATTCATGGCCCCATACGTGGGAATGACTCATACCCGGGGAATAGGTTGAGGTCATTCATACCTACGTGAATAAGGAACATTCCTTTAAAATTAGAATTTTCTAACTTTTCAGGTTCCCCAGTCCGCGACTTACTCGAAAAAAATTTCACGGACCCTTACGTGGGTACCACGCATACCCGGGGATTGGGTTTGAGCTCATTAATACCCACTTGGATGGGGAACATCGTTTTAAAACTCCAATCCGTTAGCTTCTCAGATCCCTGAGTTAGCAACTGACCCGAAAAAAACTTTGACGGGACCATAAATGAGTACCACCCATACTCGGTGTCTGGGTCTGAGCTCATTGAGGCATAAGTGGATGACGAATATGCTCAAGTTTACAATCTTCTAGCTTTTCAAATTATCGAGTTAGCAACTTATCCGAAAAAAATTTTGGCGGGCTCGTACGTGGGCACAACACGGGAAAGAGCGCCCATTTTGGAGATGGGGGCCCTTACATGCATACGGATTAAGTTCCCAAAGTTTCAGCGCTGTAGCTTTTTTAGGTCTCGAAATGAAAAATCGGTACAGAGGTCCAACGCACACAACAGACAACTTCTCGTCAATATGCGTTTTCCGCATTGCATAGCTGCAAACGCATAATAAAAAGTGGCCGCTGAGTGTTTTCCTGAGTGAGTACCTATTCTTCGAATGGAGTGGCGCACCAGTGGACTGGATGGCGCTGGGACTCGTTACGGGGCCGATTTCGTGGCAGCCAATTTCTTTTCACATGTTCTTATCTGCACAATGCTTTTTCGCTCATTCATCCCCCCTGCTCTCCTTCTTTCTTCATTCTAATTCTACATTAATAATAGCAGCAGCAGCTCCGTACTACATCCCCCATTTCCATGCTTCAGGAGTCCTCCCTCCCCGCGATGTGAACATACATTCGAATATAGTTTCCGCTTATCAGCTTGCAGGAAATGCCGGTCCAACTTTTTTCAAAATTTCAATTTTTCTTTACCGAA